CGTTAGTAGTCGTAAAATAAGTAAAAGTAAAGTAAAGTAAATTAAAGTACAACTTAAATTAAGTAACAACTACTTCCCTACTAGATAGTACTACTACTACTATTAACCCCTAACCCTACCTCTCTCTCTCTCTCTCTCTCTCTCTCTTTGTAATGTTTCTGCACATTAACGGGTCTGTGGGATGCTAGACTGAAACCTTGAGGTAAGGTACATATAGATTTAGTCTACAACCATATTTTGACATAGTTTGCATCTACTAATTTTGAATGAATTTATGAATGCATCATAATGAATATATAACTAAATTTGAAATATTTCTGTGTCTAACAAGTGCCTCTGTGCAGATATAAAGCAGTTGTAGTATCTTTAATACTAAATATATAGATATAAAATGTCTTTCATTACCATCTCCAATCTAATAAACAAAAGCCAGTAAAACAGGTAAAAATAACAAGATATTTATTTGTCAAATAACGATACCATTTGCTTATATTGAAATTGAAGAAAATAAGCATCAGAATAAATATAGTTTATAAGTAAATCAACCCTTTCATGGACATTTCTTTGAAGCTATGCCTTCTCAAACCGTATGAAGTTATGTACGCACCGGTGTAAGGGACAAGAAAGCCTCTTTTGGATAGACAAGATAGGCAAAGAAGAAAGTTACTCCTTTTGGGGCACTATACATGATCTTTTAACTTGCATGAGTTGTAAAGAAATTGTAGAAAGCATACCATCAGTCAGATCAAGCACAGAAAATCATCTGATCTATTTAAACATTTAAGCCAATATTACTTAATTGCTGCATACTCAGCACAAAATCCTCGTCTCTCTCCAGCCGTGAAATAAAATAATAAAAGATAATATACATAGATTATTCGGTAACTTCAAGGGTTAGAGTGGAGCAAAAATCTAAACAAACTTAGCAAAGAAAAAACAAGCATCTTTCAGTAAAAATATCAAGTAATGGCTTGGGTATTGAACATACAGATCCATCGCTCGATAGTAGTTCAGAGGCCCCGTGAACCCCGATTTCTGGAATTTGGAGGCAAAATATTGCAGTTCTTCTTCAGTAATCCAAGGTGGTAGTGATGATGGAATTTCCAAAGAATCAATGACCTCCTGCCCAGGCGGAGCAATCAATAGATCCTGCTTGTTGATCAGCAAAAACTTCTTCATAATTGTCAAAGCATCATAGCAGGCAAATGCCTTTTCAGCTCTTCCAGGCTCCTACAAATACAAAGTTCACTAAGACTACATATGGAGTAAAATTTCAAATTCTTGTAAAATTGTGAATTACCAGTACTGGAACATAAAGAAAGTCTAATTTTTATTTTTTTTGGGCAATTGAAAGTAAAAAATTTTCATTTCATAGAAAGTGACATCACTGAATAAGAATAAGCTCAATTCGTGGAACAACCTGAAGGAAGGTGAAATATTTAACTTGTTAAAGAGGGTTGTAAATTTTTGTTTGCTATCATAAATTCATATACTGTTTGGATACCCTTGAGCGCGTGTTATAATAGTATGCAAGTTTTTCATGTCCATTGATTGTCCAAGTATGAATTGGACCTATGTTATGAGGTACAAAAGTGGAGTATTTGATCTGCTAAATTTCTAAGTACTAATCAATATGGAATATTCACTCAAGTTGAGAAAAAATGTTGGAGAAGAATACAACGACTGAAATGAGTTTGGATTGTATCATAGAGTTTGTGATATCGAGCACCAAACCACTTTCCCCAATTCTCAGAAAAAAGATGCATCAAGTAAGAGATTACGAGACCATGAGAAGGTCTTCAGAAGAAAGGTGTTTCTCAAAAATTTTCAGAGTACAAAACTAAATATCACTGATGAATGAAGAAGGATATAGATAAAAAAAACTACTATATAAAAAACTTTAAAAACAAAAAACCCAGATTACCCATGAGGAGCTCAACAGGAATCAATTCTAGAGTCCAAACGAAGATCAATTGACAAGTCCCTATCCAAATTTTAGTATAGAAAATTAGATAACACATGAGGTATTTGAGCAAAGTAGATAGAGAAATTGTAACCTGAAACTGGTTGATGTAGAACCCATCGCCATAGGCTCGAGCCATGGACTCAACGGGTTTGCGAAGCGGCGAGCGAGGCCAAAAGGGGACGCCCAAATTGACGAGAGCCTTGACCTTGTCGGGCCTGAGCAAACAGAGGTGCCAAGCTATCAGCGCACCCCAGTCATGTCCAACCACAAAAGCCTGAAAAAGTTATCGTCAGTGTCATTCTCCCTATAAATGAAAATCTCTCTCTCTCTCTGGAAGGAGAGCAACAAATTATTTCTCTCTCCAATCACTGTGTTTTAATCTCTCTCTGAAAAGGTTATAGATAGAGAAAGTACACCTGCGCCTCTCCTAGAGTATCAAGAAGGCCGACAATGTCTCCGACAATGTGGAACACCGTGTAAGACGTGTACGGCAGAGGCGGGGCTTCGGTGTCGCCATAGCCTCGAAGGTCAGGAGCCACTGCTCTGTACCCATGCCTCGCCATGAATGCCATCTGGTGTCGCCATGAAAACCAGAGCTCAGGAAAACCATGAAGAAACAGAACCAGTGGCCCGCTCCCTTGCTCCGCTATGTGCATCTCTATCCCATTCGTCTTGACACTCCTGTGCACCACCTCCATCGTTGCCATCTCTCTCTCTCTACTTGCTCAGAAGCACTGTTGGAGTCTTGGTCTGCGTTTCATATTAAAGTCATGGTTGGGTGACGTAGAATCCCGGTAAACGTTGAAAGTCCGTGCCGTTGCCGGGTGATAGTCTCGGCTTTTCTCTGGCTGCTATCTCATGGGGTGTTTGGTGCAGCCGCGGCTGCGGGGGCTGCAACCTTGTCCCAAATCCAATAAAAGTTTATGGTGTAAATTTGTCAAATCTGGTTTATTTTAAGGGTGTGATTTAAATAAGGTTGCAATCATTGACAATCGAATTAAGGCGCACTTTTAATTTTATCATAAACAAAATTTTGATAAAAAATTTTTCTTAGAATGGCTTGAGAATCTATTTTTATTTCTAATTATAAAATTTTAAAATATAAAAAAAAATTCAGATCAAGTAGATCTATGAACACATGAAAATTTTAAAAATGGGTAGTCCAGATAATGTGCTGCACTTGAAATCTTTTTTTTCTTTCATATTCATACAAATGATCAATTAGAGGGTTTTTCAACTTCTAAACAACTTTCTATGTTATTTTGTTCTATTAAAGATCATATCCTCATTAAAAGTAGTTTTTATATCTTTTCTCTTTACTTTCAATTATGCCCTTTTGGGCTTACGTCTTGTTTAGGGGTGAGAATGGATCAGATTTTGATCTGGATCCAACAAGATCGAGATCTGGATCTAAATACTATACATTAGATTCTTGTTGGATCTGCGTTCAAATTGGATCTTGGATAGTTGGATTTGGATATAGATTCGAATAATATACATCGGATATGCATCTGGATTCAAATCCATATTATATACTATTTTTTAAAAAAATTATATATAGAAAATAAAAATTTACTATTTTAAAAAATTGGGTTGGATTAGGATCGGATCCACCTGCCCAATCCGACATGAATTTCAATTCGGATTTGATTTTTGGATTTGAAGCCGGATTTTAGATCCAAATTTTGTGTCCAACCCAAATCTGAATAAGGTCCGAAATCTAGGTTTCGGATCCAAATTGGGTAAATTTTTACCCCTACCCTTGTTCCATTTATTTGAATTACCTAGTATTCCTTAACGAGCATTGTTCTAGGCCTGCATCATATATGGTATTGTATTGAGTCTGCTATCATACATGGTCAATCCACCTTAGTCTACTTTTGCATGCTACATTACATTCTTCACCACCATGGCACCCTCTTTTGAACGAATGAGCTCTCATAGGCAACATGAGAGGTGCATCAGGGTCCTCTTCCTGAGGGTTTGAGATCAACCTGCTTCAGCAAATCTCTCTCTTCTCCCATTATACTTGTCATGGGCCTCAAATCAATATTGTTGCAGACCACGGAGGGAGGCGGGCATGTTCGGTAGACGCATCCTCAACCCATGGAATGGAAGAGTGAGGGCTGTTGAGGGGCATGTTAGGTAGACGCTATGGAAGAGTGAGGCCTGTTGAGCGATGCTCTGACCACTCGCCCCCGATACGTCCAAGAAAAAGAGCATGCCGCCGACTCGCCCCAGATACGTCGGTCCAAGAAATAGAGCATGCCGCCGCACTCAGACATGACAAGGCGATGGCGATTGTGCTCTTCTTTTCCTCATCGAGGAAACTCTCCGAGACCTCAATCACTGTAAAACCCACAGAAACAAGAAGGTTGAAATCAACCTCAAGGGAGGAGGAAGCATCAATGCTGATGATCTGCTTAAGGAATGTGGTCTTTCCTGTCTTCGAGGAGCCAAATAGAAGGACAGATTTGAAATTCTGGTCGATGGAAGAGCATGCGCTGCGTTGCTCGCTCTAGGTATTCCAAAGTGGAGCCCAGATTTGTGACCCACGCGGACATTTGAGCAAGCAATGGCAGTGATCTTCAGAGACTTGCAATGTCTAAGAGATTTCGCCTCTTTCAAGAGGCGGCCACAGTCCTTGCAGATTTCTTCGATTATTTGTGACCCACGCGCACATTTGAGCAAGCGATGGCAGTGATCTTCAGAGACTTTCACTGTCTAAGAGATTTCGCCTCTTTCAAGAGGCGACCACATCCTTGGAGATTTCTTCGATTATTTGTGACCCACGCGCACATTTGAGCAAGCAATGGCAGTGATCTTCAGAGACTTTCACTGTCTAAGAGATTTCGCCTCTTTCAAGAGGCAGCCACACTCCTTGGAGATTTCTTCGATTGCAGTTCCTGCGGCAGGCTTTCATCATACTCAAGTGTGCTTCATAACAACCTTGCTCTTCTGGGGGAATCCATGGTTCTCATCGTCAATTTCTCCATTTTGGTTTTTTTTCCCCATTCTCCTCTTCATAAATGGTGGTGTTTCTTACGAGGAGAGCTCGACGTAGAAACGAGGGATATTAAGGAATCCGGGAAAATAACCACAGATCGTCATGAGAATGCGGAGGAGGCTGCGGCGAGCATGCATGACCTTGCGCAAGTAGAACTCGCCCAAGCATTCGAGGAAGGGGATCCGTTTCAGAGATAGGGAATGGGTGGTGCTGGATGGGGGAGAAGATGATGTCGAGAAGCTCTTCGCATGAGGGCACAGCCGTAAGCCGCTAGAACCTGTAAGTCATCATTGTTGCACTCTCTCTCGGTGTGAGTTGCGTTGCATAAGCTCATCACTCTGCAACTTCCTCCTCTATTCTGCAACGTCGAACCCTAGTCACAAATTCGTTAGGATTAGCAATGCAACATATTTATGATATACCTTATGAATTATCATCGAGTACCGGTAAAAATCTCTTATCTTTTTTCATGGGAAAATTCGATTTGATTTAACATTCAAAAAAGGAAATATATACATTCGAATTGATTTCCTAATTAAAACTCCCAATAAAAATTCTCTTTATTTTGAATGTCACATTAAAGTCCCACTCTGGTTATGCTAACTTTTAGGCATTCATATTCCTCACATGTAAAAAAATATTACAAAATATAATTAATTTAAACAAAAATAACCAAAATGCCTCTATCACTGTCAAAACTTTAAGGAGTATTTTTTATTTAAAATATCTTTAGGTAAGATTAACAAATCTAAGATGGTGAAAAGCATTAACTCCCAAAGTTTAGTTTACTTTTATGTGACGAAAAGAAAAGAAAATAAAATTAAAATATTATACACACTTAAAAAGGTCGGACTCGAGCTACAAATAGAAAATATACATGATTATTTTTTAATTTTGAACAAAAATTGGGAATCTTTATTAAATTTGTTTAATTTTTTGACATCACATTAATCTATCTCATTTATAAAAACTAATGGGGTGTAAATTACTTTAATGCTAGTTGATATTTTTTTATTGATTATAATTAACTTATAATAAAGCGTAGAATTACCTCGAGAAAATCTTATCGTAGTCAATAATAATTATTTTATCAAGTAATCACATGATTATTTATTGAGTAATGATACACATGATTATTTATCAAGTAATCACCATTAAATTTAGACAAGATCTCTAGGAAAGTTATCAATAAACCCATTAACGTCTCACACCCATATGATAACTTTTTTAGAGATCTGTGTAAAAAACTTAATGGTAATCTTTGGGGGTCCTACTCACATGAGTGTGGGAGGGTCTCATAGTATCATTACTCTTATTTATTAATCATATGACTGGCCCAATACTAAAATTTATGAAATAATTAAATAATAAGAAAATGTAATTTTGAACCCTAAAAATATTACTTATTTTAATCCTCAAACTAATTGTCATGTAGCACTCACATCTTATCTCTCTATTCCCTCTTAACTTCTTATTTCTCAAACTCTCTATTCCTTCTTAACTTCTTATTTCTCAAAATAATTTGTATTTTGGTGAATCATAAAAGCACATAAATCACCACCAATATGCTTCAATACTTCATGCTACCATGGGAGGGCCGCAAAGGGTTAGGTTTTGGGTTTTGAAAAATAAAAAAAAATAGAAAAAAAAAAGAGGAAAAGGACATGCGTGACATCTACGAATTAGTTTGAGGTACTTAATATGGATCAAATTAGAAATCGTCAGCAGGAGGGAGAGGAACAAAATTCAAACCCTTGATAGGGATGAAAGGTGGGGTACTAACACGAAATGAGTGGGATTTTGAGAAGTCCGCAAACTTATAGAATCACCAATATAAAAGTGGAATAATTATTACATCATAAAAGCATCATTCTTGCACCTATTTTAGTCGGGGATTGTATACTACGAGGCTACTTTTCTTTTTTAGAAAACTGTTACATGTCAAATTGGATGGCTTATAATTGCAAAGTTTTAGAAATTTTTATAAATTAAATGGCTTAGAGCGTTATAAAGTTTAAGAAATTTTTTTTCAACTTGAGTCAAGTCAATCACACATTTCACACACCAACCGATTTGAAATATGATGGACAAGATCGACTGCAACCTATTTTGCATTAAAAGTAAAAGGTAACTTTGTATACTTTCATTTCGTTATATATAAACTTCCGAAGTTTTGATCCCATTAGTCAAAGACAAGTAATAACACTCTTGGATACAATTCTAAATCCATTAATTCATGTATGCGTTTAGTTTTTTATGTAGAAAGTCTTTTTAAAAGAAGTATATAATGAGACCATTTACGTTTGGTACAAGATAGTCACAATTAATTTTGATCAATGGATGTGAAATTGGATGGTTGCATTCATTACATCAACTAAAACGAACATTTAAGTAATTTTCCCTATAATAAAACATCAACTAAAACGAATATTTAAGTAATTTTCCCTATAATAAAATATCAACTAAAACGGATATTTAAGTAATTTTCCCTATAATAAAACATCAATATTTAAGTATTTTTCCCTATAATAAAACATCATAGTAGTGCCCAAAAACCAAAAGAACTCAGCGTAAAACATAAATAAATAAAGGACAAGGGACTAAGGAGTAATTATGTATAAAATTAACCCGATCAGTAAGTAAATGTGCCTTTCAGGTAAACCGGTTCATCTTCTTCCCGTGGCCTGCTAGCTGAAGCCCCTCTCGCGCCTCCACTTCCTCCAGTCAGTCTTTGGAAAATATCAGGGCACACTACTTTTAAATCCATTCTCAACAATACTTCCTCCTCCGTTTCTGAAGCATCATTCAGATTCATGGAGTCCTTCACGCCGATCCCGACTCCTCCTTTCTAAGATTACCATTCTTCACCGCCATGGCGCCGCGCCCTCCTTCTTCGGAATGAGCCGGCAACATGAGCACTGCATCGAGGCCTCAGCTTTAGTCTGACTCAGCAAATCCCTCGCCTAAACTTTCCATAGACCGACCTCAAATCGATTTTGTTGCATTCCACTCTACGGACAAGGGTTTGTTTCTGCCTCAACTTGCGGAAAAGTAAGTGAGGCCTGAGCAACGGTCTGACGACCCTGATACATCGAATCGAAGAAGAAGAGTAAGGTGCAGGCCCCCACACGACACAAGACGTTATGTGCATGAATTCCCACAGAAATACCTGCGTATCAATGCAAGTGATCTGCTTAAGGAATGAGGTCTTTCCCGTCTTCGAGGAGCCTTGCTCGCTCTAGGTAGGTAATCAAAGGCGGAGTCGTCGCGCTGCTCATTCGAGAAATGGCAGCGACCTTCAGAGATTTGAATTGTCTAAGAGTTTTTGCTTCTTTCAAGAGGTGGCCGATTCATGTGTCTCTGATTAGGGTTATGGCTCCTTCCATAATAAATAGGTGTGCTGCATAAAGGTCCTGCTCTTTAGGGACTGCATTGTTCTCGTTGTCATCCTCTCCCGGGTATCCATCGTTTTCATTGTCATGCTCTCTAATGGTTTTGTACTTACTCCTCTTCATATATGGTGGTGGAGTCTTTGTGCAGGTAGAACTCGCGCATTAAAGAAAGGGAATAGGTTTCGGAGATGGGGAATTGGTGGTGCTGGGTGGGAGAGAGGATAATGTCGAAAAACTCTTGGTATGAGGGCACAGCCTTCATCCTCTTCAACCTGGAAATCACCATGGTTGTACTCTTTCTCTTGGTCTTGGTGGGAGTTGCAGAAGCTGATTTCCTCTATGCCTAACCCTAAGCACAAATTAGTTACGACTTACGATTAGCAACTCAAGTTATTTATATTATGGGTGCCGTTTGTATAGAGCTTAGGCTTTAAACAATCAAATTAGCGCATGTCTTCAAATAGCAATGAGGAATATGATTTAAATATTGAAAATCTTTATGTTAGACTTAAATTATATTTTTATATTTATTTATAAAGTTTAAAGCTTCAAAGCTAGTGTAGATCGACAGATCTATGAAATTTTTGAAAATTGACGATCCAAAAATTCATTACAAAATACACTATTTTCAAAACTTGAAATCCATTTTTTTCATGGGCATACATCTTAATGTCGAGATGATTAATTTGAAGATATTTGAGCATCAAAACAACCTCTTCTAATGAAATATTTGTGGTAGGCTCAAATTTGATTGGGCTTTATGTATACTCTTCCCTGATAAATTATAAATGGCGTGATGTCCCTTTTCATCAACTACCTGTAAAATCTCTTATTGTCTTTCTTCACTAAAATGCGTATCCTTTGTTACTCAATTATTCGATTTGATTTTTTTTTTAAAGTTTATTCGATTTGATTTCCTAATAAAAACTGCTAAGCAGCCCGTGCAATTGCAAATCATATCAATCAGATCGTCCGAAGTTATCATCTAAAAGAAGAGTTTAGGAAAATAAACTTCCAATATCATCATCCAAGCTTTATCGCAATTATTTTGGGTTGGCAAAATCAAGTCTTAAGATATTTGTTATAAAAAGTTCAGGAAAACTAACAGAAAAATCTTTTTTTGTTTTAAAAAGGCAAGCTTTCGATGCTTCTCTTATTGCAAAAAAAAATTATATATTTCTCCTATCCAATAATACATTCTGAATAGACCGCTGAGATAACACCAATCACAACGTCATGTTTTTATACTATTTTATTTTTAGTTATTTTTATACAAACTATTTACACACCAAATTTAGGGCGTCCACTCCTCTCTTAAAGTCCTACTTATAAAAAAAATTATTTTCAATAAAATAAAACGACCAAAAATACCTCTGAAAGATTCAAAGGGTAACTTTATCATTATATTATATTGAATAACTCTTTCTAATATATTTTTAGGTGCATCCGATGGAGAAGATGACACGTACCAAATTTCATATTCATACAATTTATAGAGAAAAAACTAAAAATAAACTTCTCTCAAGCATCAGATCTCGATCAAATGGTAAGTAGCTCACTTGATCTAAATAGAACCACTGGATGAAGGGTGAAGTATATATCTTCTATGTTGTAGAGGAAATATAGAAATATTTTCCTTTTAAAAATTAAAAATAGTTCTACAAATTTTATATTTTACACCTAGTTTTTACCGTAAATATTTTATTTTGGGTTCGGTTTGTATAGAGTCGAGCCTCTAAACAATCAAATTAGAGTCCACCTTCAAATACTATCGAGAAATATGGTTTCAATACTGGAAAGTTTTGTGATAGCCTTAAATTATATTTTCATCTTTAGTTATAAAATTTAAAGCTTTAAAAATAGTGTAGATCGAGCCGAAGTATGAAAATCTTGAAAATTAATGGTCCAAAAATGCGTTACAAGATGCACTATTTCCAAACTTGAAATCCATTTTTTTTCTCATGTCCATGCATCTTGATGTCGAGATGATCAATTTGATGATATTTGGGCATCAAAACAACCTCTTCTAGTAAAAATTTTGAGTTAGGCTCTAATTTGATTGTTTAGAGCCTAGGCTCTATATAAACTTTTCCCTTTTATTTTAATTTTATTTATTTTTTTATATATACAATTATGTTAAACTTTTAGTCATCCATACTTCTCACGAGATTGGCTTTTTTTTTTTTAGAAAATATAATTAATTTAAATAAAAAACCAAAATACCCATATAAGTATCAAATTTTAAGGGGTATTTTAGTTATTTTATTTAAAAATATATTTTGGGTATTTTCAAATGCGTGGTACAACCTTGAGTTTATTTTAATGTATAGCAAAACTTAAAAACTTGAGTTTATTTTAATGTATAGCAAAACTTGAGTTTATTTTAATGTATAGGCACTTGAATGTCCTTGAAAATTTTCAACATAACGAAGGATGCACTATATATCTCTCTAAAAATTTTATATACTTTCTCTCTTTAAATCTCAAAATTTGTGATAGTGTATCTATAAAAATTTTGAAACAGTTTCTCCCTAAAATTTGATAGGGTTTCTCTCTTTAAAATTTACTGTACTTTCTATCTAAAATTTAAAATTTGAAATTGTCTCTCTAAAATTTTTGAGATAATTTCTCTCTCTAAATTTTTTAGGTGTTTACTCTCTCCAAAATTTAATAGCGTTTCTCTTTCTAAAAGTTTAAGAAACTCTCTTTTTAAAACTTAAAACTTGAGATAGCTGCTCTCTTCAATATTTTTGAGATAGTTTCTCTCTCTAAACATTTTTAAGTAGTTTAGCTCTCTAAAATATGATATAGTTGTTTTCTCAAATTTCAAAATACTTTCTCTTCCTAAAAGCTAAAATTTGAGATAATCTTTCCAAAATTTTTGTGATAGTTTCTTTTTTTTAAAAAAATTATGTACCTTCTCTCTCTAAAATTTGATAAAGTTACCTCGTTAAATTTTAATATGCTTTCTCTCTCTAAAATTTTGAAACAGTTTATCTCTTTAAAATTTGATATAGTTTCGCTTTGAAATTTGATGTACTTTCTCTCTCTAAAGTTTAAAATTTGAGATGCTTTTTCACTTTAAAACTTAAATTTTGAGATAGTTTCTTTTTAAACTTTTTGAGATAGTTTCTCTCTCTTAAAATTTCATGAATTTTTTCTATTTAAAATTTGATATAATTTCTTACCAAAATTTAAAAATATTTTCTCTCTCTAAAACATAAATTTTATGATTGTTTCTCTCTCCAAAATTTTTGAGAGAGTTTCTATTTCTAAATTTGTGTAGGTAGTTTCTCTCAATAAAATTTGATATAATTTTTATGTTTAAAACTTTAATATTTTTCTCTCTCTAAAAAACCAAATTCGAGAAAGTTTCTCTCTAAAAAATGAGATATTTCTCTTTAAAAAAAATTTTGGCAGTTTCTCTTTCTAGAATTTATAATAATTTCACTCTAAAAGTTTAAAAATACTTTCTCTCTACAATTTTAAGAATACTTTATCTCTCTAAACTTAAGATTTGATCTACATTCTCTCTCTAAAAATTAAAATATGAGATTGTTTCTCTTCCTAAAAGTTTTGAAATAGTTTTTCGGGAAAATTTCGTATAGAATCTTAATTCCTTGTATTATTTTATGGTAAACCGTCTTTGTGTTTTTCTTTCAAATGCGGCATAAGGAAATCTCTAAATATTTTATCGTACCCCTTCATCTTTTTTATTGACTTTTAATCATAAAAATTAGCTCCAACAAATCTTTTTATACCATTTCAATCCAAAAGAAAAAAATTAATTTAACCCTCTTTTTCCTTGCCACGTATTAAAAAAAAAATTTGAGTAAAATGATTTAAAAAAATTTGTTGGGGCAAATTTTTAGGAGAAAAAATAAATAAAAGAAAGAGATAGAGATGAAGGGGTATGGTGAAATCTTTAAAGTTTTTTTATGTGGCTTGAAATAAAAACGGAATGAGGGTAAATAATATGAGAAATTAGGGTTCTATACAAAATTTTTCTTAGTTTTTCTCTCTAAAAAAATTGATATAATTTCTCTCTCTAAAAATTTGCATGTACTTTCTCTCTCTAAAATATCATAGTTTCTCTCTAAAATTTAAAATTTGAGATAGTTTCTCTCTCTAAAATTTTAAGATAGTTTATCTCTCAAAAAAAATTGGTACTTTATCTCTCTAAAATTTTAACATATTTTTTTTAAAAAATTTTAACATACTATCTCTCTAAAAGTTAAAATTTGATATATTTTATCTCTCAAAAATTTTGAGATAGTTCATCTCTCTAAAAAAATTTGGTGCTTTCTTTCTCTAAAATTTTCACATATTTTCTCTCTCTAAAGTTAAAATTTGAGAGTTCTCTCTCTAAAATTTTGAGATAGTTCATATCTCCAAAAACTTTGGTACTTTCTCTATCTAAAATTTTAAAATACTGTCTATCTAAAAGTTAAAATTTGAGATAGTTTCTCTATTTAAAAAATTTAGATACTTTCTCTCTCTAAAATTTTTATACTTACAAAATGCTCCCTATGTTAGGGGTCGACGGAGCCAATGAGTGAAATCCATGGGCATTGGAAATGCAAAAAAAAAATATTTTTGGTGTAGAAATGAAATCATGGAAAAGTAGGTCTTATTTTCATGATTTTGATTTTCCTGATTTCAAGTATCCTAGTCATTAAGCAATCCAAATGGGGTATTTTGGCAAAATCCAAGATATTAGGAATCCATGCCTTGAAATTTATGTACCCAAACAGGAATCAAAATCATGGAAATAAGACTTACTTTTCCATGATTTCATTTCCATACTAAAACCTTTTTTTTGAAGTTCCAAGGCCCATGGATTTCACTCATTGGCTCCTTCGACCCGAGACATAGGGAGTATTTGATAGGTACAAAATTTTTATCCCATAATTTTTAAAGAAATAAACTATCTCACATTTTAACTTTTAGAGAGAGAAAGTATGTTAAAATTTAGAGAGAGAAATTACGTTAAAGTTTTAAATAGAGAAAGTACCAAATTTTTTAGAGAGATGAATTATCTCAAAATTTTAGAGAGAGAAACTATCTCAAATTTTAACTTTTAGAAAGAGAAAATATGTTAAACTTTTAGAGAGAGAAAGTATATTAAATTTTAGAGAGAGAAAGTACCAAAAAATTTAGAGAGAGAAACTATCTCAAATTTTAAGTTTTAGAGAGAAACTATCATATTTTAGAGAGAGAAAGTACATGCAAAATTTTAGAGAGAGAAACCATCTCAATTATTTAGAGAGATATTTCAAAATATTTAGAAAGAGAAACAATCTC